ACAAGTGTGTCCGCCACAGCCGCGGAGCGAAAGGGCTCCCAGCGCGTGTTCCCGTGCGCGGTGTTTCCTCCCGCCCCCTTGTTCCGCGGGCTGGAATTCCTGGGCGATGCGGTGTGCTCTGGTGCTATTCAACAGCGTCTGTGTTCGGGGTGGTTTTGTTTTCAAGCAGGCTTAGCGTTCCTGGTTCCCTTGCTGTGGGCTGGGAGAATGCTGAGCGTGTCCCGTGCTTCTCCCCCTGTGCCATAAGGATATTTGTGTGACCGTGCCCTGCCGAGCAGCCCAGGTTAGGCAGAGTGGTTGGATCCCTCAGCTGAGGTTTTGACCCAGGAGATGGATAGAAATGTTTTCTCATCTCTCCCGCAGAAACGAGACTTTGGTCAGAACTTATTTTTCATGCATCTCCATGAAATCTTGAAGTTTTCAGTCAATAATTTGCAGCAAAACGGCCCTGTCACCTTCTCTGTTGCATCAGCTAGTGTGCTTTTCTTAAAACTATATTTATCTGTGCTTGCTCACATACTGAGGGCTTTACCAAGCCTTGTAACCATGGTTGTTCGCCACTTGCAGCCTGCCTGGTGCGGGGTGGGCTGCCTGGGATGGGGATGTTCTGCTCTGGAAGCTGTGTTGCAGGGAGCAGGGCTGTGAAGGGTTGCTTGGGTGTTTGCTCTGGCGTGTTTTGCTTTTTGGCTCTGTGAACTCTGACTTGCGTACAAACAGCGAGTCAAAATGAGAGCTGGCAGTGGCTTTGAGTGTCACAGTCTGCAGGGCCTCGATGGAGGACTTCCCTTTCGTGTGGGGACTTTCCCAATTCTGACATCTCATCCATGTAACCAAGTGCTTTTGTTTCGTCGTTGTTAACAAGGGAGGTGGAAGAATTGTAATACTTAATTCAGCTTCTTGTCAGCACAGGATCATTCTTGTTCTGGGGGTGTATTACTGATGTGCAGACAAAGATCCTTCTCTGAAATTCTTTCCTGGAGCCCTTCTTGCTAAGGAACAGGCATTCCATTGTCTTTGTCCGCAGACTTCATCTTGCACAACTTAAGGAGGAAAGGTCTCCGGGCGGGAGAAGGTTTTACTCCTGTCCCTTATGCTCACATGTTAATTTAGAACTCCACATTTCCTGTGATTCACAGCTTGTGTCTTGACATCAGTGTAATTTTCGGTGGAAGAAACGAGAGCAGAGCGCCTTTGAGCAGAAACTGAACTGCTAGTTAACTTTTCCCACATGGTGTTGTCATTAAGTGCAGCCTTTCATCAAGTAATAGTAACTGCTAGGCTGTTGGGGGGTTTTTGTTTGTTTGTTTTCCTGGTTTCTTGGTTGTTGGTTTGTGTTGGGTTTTTTCCCCCCCAATTAATGTTATGGCTCCTTTTATTCACTTAATTTTGCTCTTAACAGTGATTTTCATTTTAACAGGAGTGTGTGGGGGCATTGATCAGCATTCTAGCAGCTGCAGTTAATATTGGGTGGAAAGTCTTTCCTGAACTGCTGTTTCAGACTGACTACAACCGAAACAGTGCATTGATTTCTCCTGCCTCCCCTCCCTGTGGTTCACAGCTGGGAATTCTGTAAGGGCTGGATTGTGGTTTTATTTAAAAAGCAAAGGCTGTGGTCTGCTTTTTGATCACAGGTTCCTCAGGCAGTCGAGATGGAGTACGTTGGCTTGCTCATTACCTCGGGTTTGGTAGTTTTAGGAACCTTCTTTTGCCACCAGCTTTTGCTGTGTAGTATGTGATCTCAGTGAGGTGAAAATGTAGATGAGTATATACCTTAATGCAACTATCCGTGCAAACAAAAGCATACGTGATGTAAAAACAGGAAGGCTTTGCTCTGGTCTAATAAAGCAGCTATAAATGGTTGGTATTGCTCTTTCTTGCTGAAAAGATTACAGTCATCTTTGCACTGCCAGTATTCAGCTGAAACTTTGGCTGTTGCTTGCAGCAGTCAGGGAGTGTGTTCTCTGTAGGATGGCTGCAGAGCATTCCCAGAGCAGGGATGGCCTGGGTGTGCCATCAGGTGGAATGTGAGTGGCAGGAGGTGTTAGAAAGGCAAAATAAATCTGCTCAAGTCTAGGGGCACTAGAGGAGACAAAAAATAGATGCTTTCCTAAGCTTCTTTAGAGGATTTTTAAAAATCTTTATATCACTGTGCAGGGCAAAAAAAACCCCCAATCAGTGACTGATTAATATAATGTTTAAGATGTTTGAACTGAAAGGGCAAAATAAAATGCAGAGGAGAGACCCTAAAATCTCCTGTTTCTCCCTAAGACATCCTGTTTCTCCTTTCGAGTTTTTTTGCTGTGAGTTACTTTTACCTTGGTTCCCTGAGCCGAAGAACCCTCAGTCCTGGCTTTATTGCATCAAACTCTCGGTGCTTTGCTGGGTGTAGGTTTGTTGTACTGCTTTAGCTGCATAACTGGAAGAGGAGTAGAGAATGACAGTGAAAAGCAGGACAACAGCATTTCTGTACATTCTTGCACTTCTCATTTCTTGTGCAGAAATCTAAAGAGGTTGTTCTGGGAGCTGCTGCTCTGTGAACCATTTTATGGAATCCTGTGAAGCAGATGGGTGCTGTGGACATCTGGGGTTTATGCAACTATGTTGATTTGTCTTTGTTTTCAATCTTTATTCCAGAAGAGTTGCCATTACTGAAGATTCTTAATGCCAGATAATCAACCTACTGCCGAATAGCCATGAAAGAGACGAGGTAGCTGCCCAAGCGTGAGATAAAAACTGCTTTCAATGGATTCAAAATACAAAGACGATTTATTTAGGAAGTATGTACAGTTCCATGAATGCAAACTGAGTGCCTCTGACAACAAGCAGCGTCCTATTAATGATGAATATTTGCGAGTGGCAGCCGCAGCCTTTCTTTGCCTTCCCAAAATTGATCCCTTTTATAGATTCCGGTTGATAAAGTTCTACGAGATGGCTGAAAACTCACTGAGGTCTGTGAAATCCTCAAGTTTACATTCTCTACATAACGCATTCAGCATGCTCGAGACAGTTGGGATTAATCTCTTCCTTTATCCCTGGAAAAAGGAGTTCAAAAATATTAAGGTAAGACGTTTGATGTGTGGCTGTAGTGAGAACATGATTTGTTTTGCTCTCTTTTAACACTCTTCATGTGTTTCTTTTAAAGTCTTTTTCCCTCCACCTATTAGCATGATGTGTATGTTTGTCTCTATACAGTTGGTAAACAGAAGCCACAGGAAAATTGCAGTGTAAAGTGTTGTGCTGGCAAGAATATCCCGAGAGCAGAAGTACAAGTACTATTTGCATTTATAATGTAACCATAAAATAGAGGAAGAGTTTATTTAAGTTTTTTGTCCAGCCTAGCCTGTTACAATGTCTTAATTTCTACTTTGAGATGCTTTTACTAGGGTGAGTGGTCAAGTTGTGTTGAAGCTCACTCAAAGTTTGATTTTTGTCTTGGAACAGCTATTAATGGAGCACAAGTACTAACAGCCATTGCATGCTTTCAAGTGGATGCTTTGCTGGGGTTTTCACAAGTTATATGATGGTAAAGGAATTTCTCTAAAAAGCATTGTTTCCAGAGTATCTTCTACCTGCTTGTCAGCTCTCAATTCACAAAGCTTTGATTTTAATGTACTTTCAAATTATTTATCTATGCCAGGATCTCAGAGGGAAAAGTAGGAACTTGTACATTGCTCGGCTTGGGTGCTGGAAGACAGATAGTGAGTTTTCTGCTGTTGATTTTTCTCTTTTACCTTTTCCTATATGCTTATTCAAAACTGCTGCAGCACTTTAGTGATGAATGCTGCAGGTGGCTTACAAGAACAGTTTTGATACTTGAAAGCTGGATGAAAACACTGCTGGTACAGGTGTCTGAAGTAATCTGTGGGTTGTGTGCTCTATTTGTTTTTCTTAAAGATGCTATTTCACTGTTTAGCAAAGAATTTGAACATTATTTCCCTAAAGGGGAACTACCTTTATTCAAGTTCTCTATATAAATTTTTTTCTTCTTATGCTTAAGTCTTGGCCTTTGAAACATTGGTTGATCCGTCGAGGATAGCTCTTGATGCACTGCCAGTACTGACTTTGGTTGTGCACTGTGGATCCAGTGGCTGTTCTATACAAAGATAGGGTGGGCAGGCTACTCTTGCCTCCAAGGTAAACCAGTTTGAATTGAGCTAAGAGCATACCTCAGATATGCCAGATGCTAAGGATTTTTCAACTTGCACAGACTCATTTTTGGGGATTTTTGGTCGTTTTTAGTGCTTGACCTAATACAAAAATGAAATGAAACAGGCATTTGAAACTGTGTAGTAATAGTACAGTATATTTAAAGCTGAACTGAAGAGGACTTTGGTACTTCCACAGTAACTTAGAGCTCCTGTTACCTCTAGCTAGCTCCTGTCCAGGGGCAATACATGAAATCTCTGATTTTTACCTTTCATGGTAGGCTTGCTTGTAAATGCAGACATATGTGATATGCGTAAAAGTTAATGCCAGTGCATAGCACAGTGATTTAAATCAACAGGGAGGACATTATGCTAATCAGGATTTCAATTTGAATGGAAACTCTCCTACTTTGAATTTGTCTCATGCAGAATTTCCATCTGCTGAGCAGGAGGGATACAGAAATGGAGTTCATCTTGCCATGGGAGTTGCATGTGTTCACTGTGGTTATTATTCTGTTTAATTATATGGTATCTGTCACTGAATTATCTGAACATCTAGTCCACCACTGAATTTGTAACCTAGTTTTCCTTTTATTTCCCCCCAACCCCTTAGACCTACACTGGACCCTTTGTTTATTATGTAAAGTCTGCTCTAACTGAAGATGATGTAAGGCAAATCTTGAACTACATGGGCTATGTTCAAGAACTGGGAACAATGTATAAGCTCAAAGAGCAGGTTGATGCCATTCAAGTGAAAATGGTTTCATTTGAACTCTTTTTGGCCAAAGTGGAATGTGAGCAGCTTGTTGAAATACACTTGCAAGTGAAGGATAAAGGTTATTCAGAGGTTGATGTCATAAATGAACGAAAAAATAGCACTGAAGATGTTAGAGGCTGCTCAGAAGCCATGAAACGGCGGGTAGAGTGCAAAGAGAACTTGAACACTTCCATGGCACGAATGGTACTCCAGAAATCAGCAAGTGAACGGGCTTCTAAAGATTATTTCAAGCCAAAGGTGAGCAAGCCTTCTAAATCAGTGGACACATATGATAATTATTGGGAAAGTAAGAAACCACCTTTGATGAGCTCACTGAGTCTCAGGAAAGAACCATTTTTAGTTGATGCAGAAGATGATATTAAAGATGAGATTATCCGTCCATCACCCTCTCTTCTGACAGTGTCAAGCTCCCCACATGGGTGTTCAGATGAATTCTTGCCAACTTCTTCTCATCACAATGGCATGCTAAGAACAAATGTCCCTTACAGCTCCTATTTTTCTGCTCAAGAGGACTTAGATTTATATACTGATTCCGATTCTAGAAGTATGTTAAACTTTAAAAGACAAGAAGCTATTAAGCCTGATGTATGGCTGTTAAAGAATGATGCCAACCCTGTTTACCACAAACGCACCCACCTAGCCAAAGAGACAGCTTCCCTCAAGTGCCAAAACTGTGGCGTACCTTGTGGCACTTCTGTTTGCCAAAAGTGTGACAATCTGTACAACTCTAGGCAGGAATACCCAGCAGTGAAACAGAGCGCCTATTCAATCAAACCACTTCCAAACGATGGCTTGCCTCCTGCGTCTTTAAGGGAGAAATCTCAGTACACATCACAGACTCAGAGTCAAGAGAGAGCTGCTCAGTTCAGTTCAAAATCCAAATCTTCAGGCACCTCCCGCTGCGGCTTTTGTAACCGGTCCGGAGCTGCAAACACTTGCACGTTTTGCTCAAAGGTCTCATGTGACACTTGCCTCAATGCTTACTATTATGATCCCTGCTGCAGAAAAAGCGAGCTTCACAGATTCATGCCTAACAATCAGTTAAACTATAAATCGTCCCAGCTGTCCCATGTAGTTTATAGATAGACTCGATTAGTCTGTTTTGGAGGGGAAGGAAAGGGGGAGGGGAAAGGGCTATCTTAACTAATGTTCTGACTCCACTGATAAGAAAATAACACTGACCTCTTACCAAAAGAACACATCCAAATGTTTGGAACCATGGTTCAGTGATCAGGTGCCAGTTCTTGATTTTTGTGGCTTCACAGATGCTGCAGACACATTCGATTTCATGCTGCTATAATTTAGGTAACTCCTGAATGATCATTACCTTTGAGTTTAAGGGGGAGAAGAGCACATTTTTTTTTCTTTAAAACTTGGCAGCTGTTGTATGTCAGAAAAGTGACATCTCACCTTTCTCTTACATTGCAGTCATCTCCTTGCCCAAATAAAACCATGCAAGGCTTGAAAGTAAAGTCTGGAAATTTAAGGTTTTCCTTTTCTATGAGTGATGAAACCACTGCTGGTTTTTGGTTAAAGTATGACTCCCAAATGTGCAAGAGAGATGTGAATGGCTTGTTTTGCCATCAAGCATGTCTGCATTTCTAAATCTCCAAAATGCAAACACGAACAGCATCTCTTCCTTTTGTCTTTACGTTTCTTCCTTCTCCCCTTATTTCCCTATTGTTTATCTCAAGGTTATAGAATCTGAATCTGGACAATTTGTGCTTTATTTTCTGGTGTTGCCAATTTCATCCTACTGGGTTTTACCATATGGTAGTTCAAAAAGGTGAACCTGTAGTTACGTTACTTAAATTATGCCTGGAGTGTTGTCCTTTCAGATGAGTACTGATTTTTCTTTACTTTCCGTTGCACATGTATTAAGTACTGTTCTTTGTACTGTAAATAGGTATTTGGAAACAGTTTATTTTTAATAAATATTTAATATGTTGAGTTCTTAAAACTGGTAGAATCATTATAACTATGAAGTCTCTCTGGGTTATTTGTTCAGGTGACTTTTTGTTTTTCCTTGTACTGTATTTCATAGCTTATTATAGTCACTGTGGCAGACTGATCAATTTTTGGGTTTTAATCTGACTCTTTTTTTTTTTCTCTCCTGACAAGGCTACCACTAGTCTGAGTGGAGTCTTGTCTAAGAATTGCAGGATTTTGGTTCTCAGTGCACGCTTTTCCTTTGTGGTTATGGAAATTGTAAGTATAAATGTTATGCTTGCTTCCAAATTCATTGCCAAGTCTGTAGTGTAGTCCAGCAAGTAAAGCACTGGCCTGGTTAAAAATCAGACCTCATTTGTGACTCCTGTTAAAGTAAACCCATCAGTTATGGATGTGAATCAGGTAGTAAGATTTATCTGTATTACTGTAGCACATAGGAACCCAAGCGGAGAACCAGGACTCCGTCGTGCTAGGCTCTGTACAGTTTGACCCCCAGACAATACCTGGTTATGAATAGACTTTAGTTTTTTATTAAAAGGAAACCCACAAGAATCCTTCTAACTTCCTTATTCCACCTAGTTAGAACACCTGGTTAGAACAAAGTGTCAGGCAACCTAATCTGATGTGCAGAATTAAATGTGTTTAAAATATCTGTAAAAAACTCTAGCTGAGATGTAAACTGTGTCGTCCACTTTGCACTAAAATTATTCACTTAGGGTTTTTCTTTAGACACTGTTAGAGTCTAGGCTTCTAAACTTAAATGTCCATCGATCCCTGTGTGACAGAAACATGCATGAATGATCATTTGTCTTACATTTTTGGGGTGGGGGGAGGTCTTGAGGTAGGTAGAGGGGGAAACTATATAGGCTAATGTTGTAAAATAGCTAAAATAATTTTAGCCATAAATGGGTGTCAGAAGTATTATGGAAATAAGATGAAACCTGAGTCTTACAGAGGGCTGAGAACAGTTAAGTTATTGTACAGTTTGCACTAAGAAACAAAGTGAATGGCATGTGTGTAGCAATCAGGGAAAATTGTGAATCAAGTGACTGCAACCGAACATAATGTTACAGGCAAGTATTGCCTTGCTGACCCTGAAGGTTGGGGTGAATATTGTTTAGATGACTGATTTTAAGGTTTTCAAAGTCTTGTATGTTTTTCTATAAAAATATATATATATATAAATATGACACAAATGTAGATACATTATGTATATAGTGAAGAATTCAAAAACAATTTTACTATTAAAATACAGTCTAAGGTTGGTTTTCATTTCGGTGGCTATTTTGGTTTTGTTCATCTTCTGAAGTGTCATGCCTGTTTGGCTGCTATACAGTGTATCTTCTAGTTCACTAGTTCAATTTCCATATGGCTACTCACACTACAGTGAATAACTAAAACTGTGATGCCACGTAATTTTTACGGTGAACATAGCAGGGACTATACTTGCTTTGAAAAAGAAAAGTCCTGTGTATATATGTCATGGAATACTGTAGTACAAAACTGTGTTGAATTGAAGTGATACCATGCTCTATTTTTGTGTATCTTACTGTATGAGGTTGCTGTGATTGATACAGTAAAATATATGCTAATTTAAAATGCAGGTGTTTTGCATCTGATTTGTTTAAATTAATTTATGTTTTGAAGGAATTTAAAAATAAAGAGGCCTTTAAGAAAAGGCTTAAACTCTTTTCTTAAAGCGGAGTGCATGTAGCTGTCTGTTTCACAACTGCGTTTTGCATGCAGAAATGACTTGGTGCCCAGAGGTAATCTTGGGGGCAAAAATGGGCAAGAGTGTATGTATCATGAGGCTCAGCTTTCTGAAACTGGATGTACTGCTTGCAGAATGCAGAGCTTTTTTTAAAAGCGTTTATTTTCAAGTCTTAGCAGCATGACTCAGTTTGTTCCATAAGAGCATGTAAGCCAATATGTCAGCAGTCTGCAGCAGACAGACTAACGTGGGGTGGAGAGCAGGTTTCATGGGTGATGTGAAGCTAACAGACATTGATTTCCAGCCTTGACTCTCGATGTCATACACACTTCTAACGAGCTTCCTGATATAAGCTGCATCTCACAGAAGATGTGTGATACTCCTGATGTACTTTTGGCACTTGAGTTAGGCCTTCTGGCTCCTTCTTCCTCCTGCTAGCTCTGGAGCAGGATAGCTCCTCAAGTTCCAAACTAGATTATTTTTTTCATTTGTCCTTTGTGTTAACGCATGTCAGGCGAATGCTGAAATGCCAGAAGTGCCATTTCTACAAGTCCTCTAATCTTACGATCTCTTGAGGTTACTGGAAGCATCAGGGATGATGATAAAAATCAAGCTAACTGAAATATTCTTGCAGGAAATTTTATCTTACATCACTCTGCTTCTTGTGCTGATGTAGTTCTGGTGCATATAAACCAAGACTTTATGCTCTTTTACTCTGACATTTCTGATTACAGACCTTTGTGGGTCTCCTGTGTCTTTTGCTCTCAACAAAAGTTTAAAGGTTCAGGACACTATCAGCTAGTTCAGACTTGACCATTTGAACTGACACCTTCTTAAATTTATTTGTTTCTGGAAGATGCCTGTGGATTACAAGCATTTAGTACCTGCTGCTAATTATGCTGTAGAATTTATTTTAAGGGAAAAGATTCATCTTTCTAAATGCGTGTTTAGAACCAGAAGCTAATCTGAGCATGGTGATAATTGATACATTGCCAGAGTGACTGAGAAAGCAGGAGGTGATTACAAGTTAAGGTAACATTCTGATGTACCTGTTTTGGCTCTGATTTGGTTAATTCCCTGAAATCGGTGGGAGTTAGTCAAACCTTTTAGCACGGCTGTTACTGTGGTATCTAAGCAGCAACTGAGTTGAGCTACAAATGTTCCTATTTGTGAAAGATGCCCCATCCTTCTTTCTGAAAATCATGGAGTGTGGTAGTATTTGTCTAAAGACTGTAAGTATGTAAATGTCTTGGAAATCGTGTATAAAATTAATTAGAATTGAACACTGCAGTTACTTTTAATTACTTTTTTCTTCAGTTGGTTGTATTCTCCTAGAAAAGATATTTTTTTTGTAACTTATCTTGCCCAGTATGAAAATGTAGGGGCAGGGAATCGGTAATTAAGTAGCTTTCTGGTTTTGTACTCCTACACCCCTGCTGGGAAAAACAAACTCTGAGGGCAACCTTTTGCACTGAGCCTCTATATGAAAATGAACAGACAAGTGCATCAGATCATCTTATGCAGTGCCTGGAGGAAGGCAAAAGGTTGAAGTATGTGATATGGCAGCAGCTCTTTTAACTCTCAAATCCTGCAGACATGCCACATAATTGAAGCTCTTCCATCTGAGGAGAGGTGTAGGAGAGCCAGAGAGCAGCTGCTTTGTTTGACAGGCTTGCTGTGCAGATTTCAATGTGCTAATGTGTGGAAAGCAAGGCTGTTCCTTACAGCATTGAAGCTCTCTGCATTGAAAATATCTTGGCATATTTTATACTGTGCAGTGGGTCTTGGTTCAGACTCTGGAGCCCTGTGTCAGGGTAACCTGTGTAGCACTAGAGGTGGTCAGTGTGCTGATGGGCAGCTGCCTGCAGCCGCACTGTGCCGAAGTCAGAAAAGGCAACTGTAATACCAGGCTGTCCATGTAGAATTGTGGGGATGGTTGATCTGTAATTAGGAATTTACGGCACCTAGCAGTACTCAAAGTGGAGCAATCCTTACAAGTCCCTATTTTTCCCCTCCTGCACTGCTTTTGCTGCTTTCATGGTGGGAAACAGACTATGAGAGCTGTGGTATTGCTGTGAGTCGTCGCTTTTTTGGAAAGAGCTGCTTTGCTGCCCTGACCTCTGCAGAAGAAAGGATGTTGTCTCCTTAGGAGTCCCTGCAAACATGGGAGACACTGCCTTGCTCAGGGACTGTGGGGTGCTGCCACTTGGTTTCTGCCATTTTGTAAGGCAGAGTAGCTCCAAGATTTTCCAAATGCAGACAAAATGCTTCCCCCATCTGGACCATGCTGCCATAGATGCCTTCCTAGAGAGATGGGTTTGCTGTTTCCTTACCCTGAGGAGCAGCAGGGTCAGAGGCTATGATTACTGCTGGTCCACCCCTGCAATCAGCTGCCTGTATTCCTGATCCTCTCTCAGTGGTGGCAGTGGGTCTGGTTTTCCACTGTGGTAGCAGATGAAAAAGGGGCTTTGTCCTGACATCCAGCAGCTTCCCAAGTTGCCTGTGCTTAAAGCCAGGCATGGACTTCCACTGAACTTGGAAAGGCTTTGTGCAGAAAAGAGGTGGGCAGGTGGAAATGTTCCAGATAAAAATGAAACGACCTGCTCTGGTATTTTTCTTCAGCATCAAGAAAAGATTTATCTTCCAGCATTTGGAATCTGGGAGGCACTGAAGTCCTATTGCAGGGAACTTCAGATGAGGTTAGAGATAGTTTTAATTACTGATATTTCTTAGTGGTGGGATCCTTACTTAGTGCTGCGGATCCTGAGTGTAAGTCATGGTGGTCCTGGTCCTTCTGTTCAGGCTGGACTCTATCATAGTAGTTCCTGCTTTGAGATCAGGATGTGAGATACCTTCTGGCTGAAGTAATACCACCCATTTGTTTTTCCTGTCTTATACTGAGCTTTCGTTTAATTCTGCATTGTGCAGTTCACTGCGCTGAAGACAATGTCAGAGCTCCAAGTAGCTTTAAGTAGTGCAGGATCAGACCTACACTATGTGGCTGACAACTTGCATGTGGCAGCTGCTTCTGCTGTTGTGGGTGTGGGGCTGTCATGCTTCCTGCTTTAGAAATCATTCTCATGATAGTCATACTGTTCTGAGACTTTTTTTTTATCATCAACCTGCTTTAAAAAAAGAAAAAGAAAACTCAACCCACAACTGTTCATCAGCTCCTTAGTGAAAAACGCTGCTTTCCCCCAGAGTTAGTAAAATCTGGTGTGTAGCTTTGTGTGCAGCGTGCTCCCATTTAACTGCCTTACCTGAAACTTTCACAGTCCAGCTTTCTAAA